ACCAGAATGCTGGACAAATGCTAATCTATTATTGAATTCAGCACTTCATTTCAGCGGAGCTCGGAATTCCATATTTGGAGCCACCTTGACTGGAAATGTCTGAAAAAGCTGTTTCCGGTTGCATGCCTTTTGGGCTCCGTGGGCAGCCATTGCTGAATAAAACTTAACGACGGCATAGAAACCAGGATGGGCCGCTGCAGCATTTGGAAAGACCAGGACTGAATACAGAAGGTCAAACTGGGAAAATGCTGTGAACAGAGAAAGCCGTGGGGGTGGTCCCACGCCAAGTAAGCATATGAAATCTCAAGCCCAGAAAACAAAACTGCCCATGCCTTCATATTCCCCAAACCCTTCTTCGAGAAGGATGCAATTCAAAACACTTCCCACTTAACCAACAAGTTTTCTTCTTAAGATCCTAAACTTTAAGAAGCCCTGGAAGGTAAAACGTGTTGACTGTGGAGAGGTACCTCTCCCGGACTCTAAAAATCTGTTGGGGGTAGCTGTCTGCTGGTCCCCTCTAGAATTAAGAGTCCTTCAGCGGGCCGGGCGCGGTGGCTCACGCCTGTAATCCCAGCACTTTGGGAAGCCGAGGAGGGCGGATCACCTGAGGCCAGGAGTTCGAGACCAGCCTGGCCAACAAGGTGAAACGCCACCTCTACTAAAATACGAAATTAGCCGGGCGTGGTGGCGGGCGCCTGTAATCCCAGCTACTCCGGAGGCCGAGGCAGGAGAATTGCTTGAACCCTGGAGGCGGATGCTGCGGTGGGCAGAGATCACGCCACTGCACCACAGCCTGGGCAACAGAGCAACAGTGTGTCTCAAAAAACAAAACAAAACAAACCAGAGTCCTTCAGCAGAGGCTGAGGCAGGTGAAGTGCTGAAGCAGGACTCTGGAATTCCCAGTTAGCGAGTGGGCGGCTTTCTCCATCCCTCCCTCCACCGTGGCCCCGGCTCACATGCAAAGCCTCGGCCGTGGGTCCAGAGCTCAGTTCCCACACTAGCAAGGTTTTGTCACTCTTGGTGGGAACCGCAAAAGGTACCAGATTCTCCCTTCACCCAGCTTGCGCGGCTAAGGCTCACGCAGCACTGCGCCTGCGCAAGACACGGCCGCGCCTTTTTTTTTTTTTTTTTTTTTTTTAAAAACAAGAGGCGCATGCGAGGGGCGGAGCGGCGCCCGGATCGCTCCCTTGCCCCTCCTACCCCGGGCCGGCTTCTGAGCCTGTTCCCCTCCTCCAGCCACACCGCCACGACCCTGAGTTTAGTGCTTCCATTCAAGTGCATGCTTAGGGTAGAGTCCCAAAATGGGCTGACAGCATGAAAGGGTAGGGACACATTTATAGCAGCCAGTTTCATCTTCACTCCTGATGGAGATTAGGGTACTAAGTATTATTAGCCCTACCTACTGAGCTTGTGGGAAATAACCATGAACGATGCAACCTTTTGACTTAAGAATTTTTTTTTTTTTTGGAGTTTAACATATTCAAATAAAAGTATGACTCACTAAGCTATTAACAGTCTAGCATGAAATCCTTAAAAAGAATTTCCTGGTTGTCCTACATGATTCTAGTGAATTGTGTACGTGTATTTGTGGGGGTCAGATGATGTGGGAGATCTGAGGTCTGAGTGAGATGTAGAGATCAATTTTGGAAAAAAGTAAAAATCAAAGAATAGGTCCAACTTGGGGCTGAGGGTGTCTGAGAGGGGTAGGTGTTGTAATCAGCTATGTGGTGGAGCAGTGTAATCACCTGGTGGGTTCATTGTACCCACTCCCCAGAAAAGCCGATTTACTGAGACAGCATTATTGAAGTAGACAGAGTTTAATAAGTACAGAACCAGCGAAATAGAAGACTGGAGTTTTATTATTACTCAAATCAGCCTCCCTGAAAATTTGGAAGCTAGGGTTTTTAAGGATAGTTTGGCAGGCAGGGGGCTAGGGAGTGGGGAATGCTGATTGGTTGGGTCAAGGATGAAATCATAGGGTGTCAGAGCTTGTGTTCTTGTGCTGGGTGAATTCCTGGTTGGGGGCCACAAGACCAGATGAGCCAGTTTGCCGATCTGAGTGGTGCCAGCTCGTCCATCAGAATACAGGGTCTGAAAAATACCTAGAATGGCAATCTTCGGTTTTACAACAGTAATGTTGAAAGGAGTGAGTTAGCTCGCCTTAGGTAGATAGCAAGGGAAGGGTCCCCAGAGAGCCCCTGGCCCACAGGTCGGTGCCTCATCTCCACATAACATAAAAAAGCAGCCTAGGAAAACATTCTAGCTGCAGGCACCAATAAGGGAACAAGCACAGCAAGTTGTACCTGGAGACATGCCCATGGCTGTACAGATAGCAAAACCTCAGGCCCATTTGGATAAAAACTTCAACAAACCTCTATTTCACTCACATAAAGGAACAAGGCCTGGCATAGAAATGTCTTTGTCCTTTGTATAGTCAGCAAGCTCCTAGGACAAACTTTCTTCTCCTTTTGTGAGTGTGGGTACAGTGGGCTCCCGTGGGTTCCAGTGGACACTTTACTTTCCTTTTTGGGCTATAAGTTTGGCCTCTATGAAGTATCACTTCAGCCCTTGGTAGGTCTGGGGCCAAGCTTTCACTTCAGCTCCTGATAGGTCCTGGGTCAAGCTAAGCAGCATCTAGGAATCATCATTTCAGCTCCTGATTGGTCCTGGGGCAACTAAGCACATTCCTTCCCCTTCCCAGTCTGTAAAAACCCTGGACACCAGCCTCACAGGGGCACCCGTTCGGGGCCCCCTCTCTGCTGGCAGAGAGTTTTCTTCTTTCGCTTATTAAACTTCCACTCTAATCTCAACTTCTCAACTTTGTGTCTGCTCTTCTTAATTGTCTTGGAGGTAGGACAAAGAACTCCCAGGCATGTTATCTCAGACAAGGAGCAACTGTTAAATCTTGGTGCATTGCTGAGACTACAACAATGCTAT